GGAAGTCGAAAATTTGGCTAGAATCTAGAATTTTAAGAGAATGTTTATATTTTTCTATCCTAACTATTTATAGGAAAAGAATCCCAATGAAGTTAGGTTAAGATTTTGCATCCTTGATTCCATTTGTCTTGCTCCGGTTGGTTATAGATGCTTGGTTAGTGTTAGTAAATTTTTCTTTGACATTTGTTTTCACGGGTTATCTTTTATGGATTATGCTCTGTGTGTACACTTTCCGTATACAAGCACTTTGACATTATGAGAGGGTGTAAAGCATTTTGTACACGTGGCATAATCCATCTTTTTTACATTGATTCTCATGTATTTTTCCTTGATCATAATGATCCTATGCTAATTTTTAGAAGTTGATAAGATAATTTTCTCAATGAGTGCTTCTTTTCACAATGCATCAAAATCCCGTGAATTACGAAATTGACTCTTTGTCCAATCTAATTCGAACCCCTCGAATTCTCGAGGAGTTCGACATGGAAATATAGCAGTAAGGGATTCGGCATGTGCATGAGGCTCATGCTTGGGGCAGTCTCTACGAAACCCGTAAGGTAGTGACGGTAACGGAGTGGGTTCGGGGTGGGGATGGGGCAACTTTTTGCACCGTTTGTTGCCCTGTTTAATTTTTATTTTATTTATTTATTTATTATTATTATTATATTTTTTTTTTTACATTTTCAAAGTTTGGAGTTATGTTATTACTAGAGAATAAAATACAAATTCAAAATGAAATTTTAACAGGTAAATTGTCTATAAATAAATTTATTTTTAATATAGGGCAGGGCATCCTAGCACCTCACGACAGGTCGTCACGCCCCGCCAACTCATTCGGGACGAATTTTTTTGCCATCCCTATCGCAAGGGATGAAATTATAAAGTCAATGACAAGACTTAGTGAGTCAATTGCCTTGCTCAAGTCAAAATAGAGAGTGAGACACATGCAAAATTATCATGTAGCAAAACGTCGAAATAAATTAATATATATTTTTAGATTGGGTTATGACAAAATATAAAATAAGATTGGGGTATGACAGAATATATTTTTAGACGTCGATAATTAAAATATTCAAATATATTAAAAACTCTATTAAACCTAATTTTAAGAGTCAACTCTCTGGAATATAAAGCATTTTACATTTTAATTAAGTTTTTAGAGATGTTCTCAAGTTTTTGCCCCTATTTGGTTCAATGACAAAAGTGAATTAAAATGTAATTGTTTGTTTGGGAGGGGTTTTGATAATTAATTTTTTGACCATTAGAGATAAAGTGGATTCTTCCTATGAAAAAAGAATTCAAAAATGAATAGTGAAATAACGGTCAAAAAATTAATTTTAATTTACTTTTAAATTGTACCAAACAAGCTCTGAGTCATAATCAACAATTAATTTTAATCACATATTTTATGGAATTGACAACTTTTCAATTATATATTTCATCAACTTTTATTTGAACCAAACAACGACTTAATTTAGAGAATCTCCAATGGTTTGCACCAAGTTGGTGCTACTTTCACACAAAACTGATGTAACTGTCATATCATCTTATAAATTCATCTTCAACTATTCCATCAAAATTTACACTTAGAAAAGAAAATGAGTGTGTTTGATTGACATGGAAAATATCACTTAGAAAAGAAAATGTTTTCCATCTTTTGTGGAAAATAAAAATCACCTCTACCCAAGGAAAATATTTTCCTTAAAAACAAGGAAAATTAGGCATATTTTCAAAAGTTGGAAAATGTTTTCCATGAAAAAAATAGCAATCAAACACTCCAAGTAGAAATTTGAATGGAAAACTGATATTTTCCATGAAAAATAAATGTAATCAAACACACTCTAGTGTGTTTGATTGACAAGGAAAATATCACATAGAAAAGAAAATGTTTTCCACCTTTTGTGGAAAATAAAAATCACCTCTACCCAAGGAAAATGTTTTCTTTAAAAACAAGGAAAATTAGTCATATTTTCAAAAATTAGAAAATATTTTTCATGGAAAAAAATAGCAATCAAACACTTCAAGTAGGAATTTGGGTGGAAAACTGATATTTTTCATGGAAAATAAATGTAATCAAACACACCCTAAGTGTCCGTTTAATTGCAAAGATAGAATTTGAGTGGAAAGAAAATGAATTTCAGGGAATTGAATTGCCCAAAAATTGTTTTCCTGGGAATTCTCAATTTATTGTGTTTGATTGGTATAATTTTCCACGTGAAACTTGTTGAAATAAAAGTTTTTGTGTTCGTTTGATTTTATTTTACATACAAACTATCAATTAAATGGATAAAATTTACTGGTATTGAGGATATAATTTGTTTCCATTGCAAAAAAAAAATGATTTCAAGAAAATCATCTATCTTTTAGTGTTAATTTTATTATGTTTTACATGAAAATTGTCGATTAAAAGAAAATATTTTGTTACAACTAGGGGTGGAATTTGTTTACATTGCAAAAAAGAAAAACACAATAAAATAAAATAAAATCGCTACAAATGGCTAGAATTCGAATTCTAACCACTATGGTGAGAATTCGAATTCCATGAAAACATGGAAAATTGCTCCTTCCTGAGAAAAAGCAAAAAACTAAGGCCCTGTTCTCTTTACCGTTTTCGGGTCGTTTTCTGTTTTAGATTTTTCAAAACGGTGAAAACATGTTCTCTTTCCCGTTTTCGAAAACGAATTTTCGAAAACGTTTTCGAAAACGAAAAAAAATTTGTAAAGAAAACACAAAACGACTTTTTTGTCGTTTTGGGCGTTTTCAGTGTAAAACTTGAAAAAATTGAAAACACGAGAAATGGTTCCAAAATGGCAAAAAAATACATTTTCAGTAATTTCAAAACAGACACTCAAAACAGAAAATCCAAAATGAATTCAAAATTCAAAACTATAAAATTGAAACACGAAAAGAACAGCCTCTAACATTTGAACATGCCCAACAAGTGAAGCAATAAGACATTAGATAATTTTAGTTTAAAGAATAGAAAGTACTATATTAAAAATGGACCCAAAAAAAATAAAAAAAGAAGAAGCTAAAATCTTTACATTATATTGTCGAGTCTAGTCTAATATTCATAATTATCAAATCTAACCTGTTCATCGATCCATAAAAGCCATCATATCAGTAAATTAATGGTTCAGTCGTAGATCAATAGTTCGACAGGTGAATTGGTTCATACATCCCTTGGGGAAAAAAAGCTATCAAACAGTCAAAAAGATGGAAAATAGAATTGATTTTCCATTTTTCATGGAAAAATTAGTATAATCAAACAAGGCGTAAATAAATAGTATTTCATTTATATTTATAATTTTTTTTTCTCAATAATTAATTTATTTCAATTAATTATTTAATTACAAATTATATTATCACCAATATTATTAAAGTAAAAATTATATTTAATGAACTATAATAAAATTGAGTAATTTTATTTTAGTGTATACAATAGTTATTATTTATTACTTGATTAGAATCACAGATAAATGTTAATTAAAAATAATAATCAAATTGAAATAGATTTAAATTACTAAATAATAAAAGAATATAAAATTTATGTGATAAGAATTAAAATTTGTTGTAATATAAAATGAAGTGCAAAATAGAAATAATGAAAAGCTTCAAAAATTATGTTGTTAGAATAGATATTTTGCACCAAATTGGTGTTTTGATACACCATTGTAAATACCCTCAGATCCTATATAGTTTTTAAAATTTTTGACGAAACACATTGAACATCTACAACATGTTTGAGATGTGAACTCGACAATATTATACATGATTATGATCACGAAATTATTAGCGAGTCTTTACATGATAGCACATGTTTGGTTCTCATTTTTTCAAAACTCATTTTCAACTATACATCTTTTATAAAAATCGAAAAAAATTCACACTTTTTAACCAGGGGCGGAACCAAGGGGGGTCTCTTAAGTTCACTTGACCCTCCATTTTTTTTTTCCTCACAATGAAATATCAAATAAAGTTGAAATATTCCATTCTTAATATCATTTTGAAATACTCACGGTCTAGTATTTCACGTCATTAATAGTGTGCGAAATGGCCAATCGTAGCAAATATTACGACGTGTCAAAATAGATTATTTCAAACTAATATTTCCAAAATTTTGATAATAAGCTAACTTTAAAAAATTTTCGACGATTATATGCTAGCCATATCTATAAATCTTCTATATTTTCTAGAAACTCATTTCGATAACTATGTCATAAATATATCGAATGATCTAAATGAATATCGAAAATAGTTAAACGTACGTCAAACGTGTATGCTAAAAAAGACGTATAACTCGTCTTTTTTGAAAAAAAAAATTTAATTATTTTATTAATGTTTATTATTTTTGCGCGACAAATTTCTCAATATAATTTACATCATTTTATTAGGAAAAT